ATAAATGGTATTTATTATACTATAGTTCAATCGAGAACTGACGTTCCTAAGCCTAATGATTAAAAAACCCAAAATTCTTCTAGAAAAAAAAACCAAATCTGTAACAATTGTGATTCGTGAAAGGTATATAGCTGTAGAGGATAAACGCTTTTATAACGTATTTGTGTGTTTGCGTATTCCCTGATACAATCGATCAAACTTAATTATTTTGCATTGTAGAAGGCCTCGTAACAGTTCATTTGTTTACTTTAGTATGATTGAAATACTGTAAGTTAATTTGTGCATTTTGTTTTTTTATATTAAAAATAGGCAATTGGAGTAATGGGAGCGACGGAAACTGCTGTTCGAGATCCTGTGTTTTTTCGTTGGCACAAGTATATTGATAATTTATTCTTCATGCACAAGAGCATGTTGGATCCTTACAGTACCCGCGATTTAGGTTTCAACAACATAACATTGAAAGCAATAAACGTCCAGGTATGAATCAACATTTTTTATCGTGTACTTACCTGCACTTCCATAATGTGTTATTTTAGATATAATTCACAAACTTGCTTACATAAAATCCATACGAATGTGTTGTCAATAATATCTTTGTAATTTTGTGTTTGCATTTTATTTCAATACTTCAAATTAAAGAGCTTACAGACATTTTAGTATACTGTTTAATTGATGTGATTTAGTGTTTATTTTGATATAACTGTATTTTGGTACCTGTACTTCCACAGTGTGCTATTTTATATTATTCACAAAATTGCTTATATAAAATACAGGCAGATATGAATATGTTGTCAATAATACTAAATATATATTTGTAATTTTGTGTTTGCATGTTATAAATTTATTTCAGTACTTTAACTCAATGTGCCTTTAAAAAACGTTTTAGTATACCGTTTTATTTATGTGATTTAGTGTTTCTTAAATTGCTTGTATGCTTAGTATGCTTTTTATGCAATATATGTTTTGCTCTCGAGCTTCTACTATGAAACCCCAACCCTAAACCCGAATTCAGTGTTTGGCGTAATTATTGGCCGACAAAGGTGGCCGGAAAATGCGAATAAGACATGACTATAGTTAGAGTTATGCAGGTATGCCCCAATAGGCACTGGCACACCCTATGTGGTTGGCGGCCGAACCCGCCTTAAACGACACACAAAACCCCTAAAGATAAAAAAAAAAAAAAACTCCCAATATCAAACAAACTAAGGGTGGGAGGGTAGAGATCAGATATTAACACCCGGAGAAACTGCCTGACGAGATGGCTGTCTTCTTCGTTAGCTGTGTGTTCAGGATATACGAATCGAAGGCGTTGTTCATGCACATGCGCATTCACATTTCTATCGGAGTTTTCGCTTCAGCGAAATTGGTAGTTCGAACAGTTTCTACTTTTTGCGAACGAAAAAAAAATGCGCAGCCAATCAGAGCTCAAGAACCGAACCAACGCCTTCGATTCGCTCGAATAAATTCGCCTAGTGGAAAACTGGCTTAAAACACGCACCAGAGGCAAAATCCAGACAAACGAGTAAGGCGAGTGCTCGATGCAAAAATAGTGTTTGCTAGCAAACCGATATTTTTGCACCTACTGTAATTTCATTCTGGAAATATAAATGAATCTGAATTTTTATATTATAAAAGTTTTTAAAATAAATCCGTGATATATTTTTAACATAACACGTTTGATCATGCATATTGGAGGTATTGCGCTTTAATAAACTTCTTTTAATTATTAGGTGAACGGCAATGGTCAGAAGAAGAATGTCTTGACTACACGCATGGAATATGTCAATGTAGATATATATGAAAGTATGTTCCAATATGAAAACACCTCACAAGCTCTCCCAGTAAGTCTATCAAAGTTCATCTTTTCCCGAGGTAGTACATTTCAAAACATTCAGCAGGGGAATGTTTTATTAATTGTAATAAGTTAATTCTTAGTAAATCGTAGCTAAAGTCAAACACTTTATTTAGGTACCTTGTTCATTCACTGAAACCGATTTTATGCTAAGGCTTATGCATCAACTTACTATCAAGTAAGAATTTGTGCATTAAGGATGCTTGGTCTTCTCTTGTATTTTATAGATTAGCGTTTATCAAGTGAACCACGACGAATTCCATTACATCATGGAAGTCAAGAATACTAATAGTACGAATGTAAAGGCGGCTTTCCGAGTTTTCATGGCACCCTCATTCGATGAACACGGTGATCGTTTCGTTCTGAATGAACAACGACGTTTGTTTATTGAAATGGACAAATTTGTGGAAGAGCGTAAGTATACTCTATTACCACTTTTGTAACTTTGTTTTGAATCTTAGGCATAGGCCTACATAAAACTCATACAATTTTATAAATATGAAAAAAGCTTTGAAAGATCATTCGCCACAAAATAAAATCTGATTTATACAAATAGGCCTATTTACTACAAATTCAAAGTATGTGGGCTGTAAGTTTTGTATGGACTCGATACGAAAAAAAATTCTGTAACGAAATAAATACCGGTAGTTTAATTTCACCTCTATTAATATAATGTTCCATGTTAATGACATTTATCTTGTATAGGTGTAGTTTTTGCCCTACTAGACGTCAAATGTACTGAATACTCAGTACGTTTGAAAACAATTGCGAAAAATCGCAAGTTCTCGGGTGGGACTCGAACCCACGATCTCCAAATCACTAATCTGGCATCATACATATAGACCACCGAGTTTGCGCCTGATGACCAGTTTTAAATTCGAGTCCAAGTAAGCAGCGGGTACTGCAGTGTTGATAGTAATTGTTATTGTTGTGATTGAATAGACAATTACTGGATTTGCGTCAGGAGAAACATGTATAGGTGTAATTTGTGCCCTACCTGACGTGAAATGTATACTGAATACTTAGTACGTTTGAAAACAATTGCGAAAAAAAATCGCAAGTTTTTCTCGGGTGAGACTCGAACCCACGATCTCCAGATCACTAGTCTGGCATCATACCTTTAGATCACCGAGCTTGCGCCTGATGGCCAGGGTTGAATTCAAATCCCAATGAGAACAAATACTGTACAATTTTATATTTTGCCTAATTTGATTTAAACTATTCATTAGTATTCTGCAATAACGTATCAAATATTGAAAATTAGAGAGTATTGTATGTGGGTCTCATAGTAATCGACTCACCTTGTGTTCGAAATCCAAATGTTTAAAACAAGAAAAACAGCTATTTTATATATGAAACGTTTCAAGGGCCCATTCTTGTTATCACAGGCTCTCCTGGACTTTTCTATCTATCATGTTCCTATACTTATCCAAACCTCCTATTTATTACACAGTTCATTTTTTCAATTAAATCCTGCATCTCATAAAAATTATCTTACATCTTGCATATCTGCTTATATGCTTTACTTTTTGTCTGTTTCTTAATACTTTAGTTCCTCCAAAAACAACTCATGAGATCACACGTTCATCTAAACTCTCGTCCGTTGTGAAGCCCCCTGGTCTATCCATTAAAGACATCGAAAAGAAGCTCAACGAGTTGGTAGCCAAAAAGCAGTCTACTGAAGAAAAAGTTGTTAGCGAGTGTGTCTGCCGAAGAGAGCGCTACTGTGAATGTGGCTTGCCGCAAAACATTCTTCTTCCACGAGGTACAGAGAGTGGCATGATATTTGACCTCTTTGTTATGGTGACCGATTGGGGGTCTGACAACTGCACCGACAACCTTGACCAAGGTACTAGTTACTGTGGAGTTAAAAACGAAAAGTATCCAGATAGTCGCGCCATGGGCTTCCCATTTGATCGAAAAATCGATGACAAATTTTTGAAAAAAGACAAATTTCTTTGTACGTTTGTGGAGAATTTTGACAATATGTTGTCAGTTCCCATTACTATTAAAATGATCACGAACAACTAAGCAAAAAGGCATGATAAGATCATTTTTTAGGCATGTTTGAAATGAATTGATTTCAGACTTACCTCACTATCTAAAGCCAGATTTTACAGGCCCGCAACGCTTAAACAATTGTGACATGCTTAAAACTATCTGCAACTAACAGATTTTAATACATTAAAACATATAAAAATGTAACACATTTTGTGATACCGTATTTTATTAACTATAGAGTAGCATTAATTTACTTTGTTTTATGAATTACAAGTAAAGGATTTTTTATATTGATTTAAATTGTCAAGCTCTGTCCACATTATCATATAGCTATAATGTGTATATATGGCCATTATGATGTCATCATGACCATTTAGGCATGTTCTAAAGGAAAGAAGCTTAACTGTCCTCCGTGGGCACGTACATGTTTTTGTCAAAGACAGATTCAGAGTCTACTAGACAGGGCTTTAGAATTAAGGTAGGATTTTAAATATTAATTAACAGTTTTTTTTATTTGCAGTTTAAGGAGAAAGGGATTGAGAGGGTGATTGTTATATTGGAAGTTTACATGTTGTTAGATGGGACTAAGAGTATACTGTTATCATTCACAAATGACGTATTTATAGATAGGCCTATACTGAAAATAATTCGTTGTGTTAGTATTGTTTTTACTTCACATTTGTGTTGTTATTGATTTGTTATGATTTTACTATTGATCAGGGGTAGCGCAAGAGGGGGGGGGGTGAGGCGAGGCCAGGCCCCACCCCCGTCAAGGAGAAAAACCACAATTGGTCGGGGAGAAATATAGACTTTAAAAAAAAAGTCTTTGAAACCCCTAAATTGTCAACATTTTCGGAGGCTTCGGCCCCTGGACCACTTTAAAAACATTTTAAGCGACGTCCGACCACGCCCACTTTGCTCTTCCTCGCCCACTTACCCCCTCGTCGGGGCATCGGGCTTCTCCGTCGGGGACTTCGGACCCCCCCCCTCCCCCGTTGGGCAAATCCTGGCGCCACCCCTGCTATTAATTTATTATTTTGATTACCGTATGCATAATTTTAAGGGGAAAAGGGGTTACTACCATTAAGGATAGGTTGGTGTAACTAACAATGAAAGAGGCAACATGGGATTGGTTTTATTTTCTTATGAAGTGAAGTTTGTTTTTCTTACCATCTTACTATTGTTTTGATTGCTTGTATTAGATGAGCTGTTGATGTTGCAAACACACCGTCAAATTTACAAATGCCACTGTTCTAAAAAGTGTACATTCAAATAAATAGTACATAAAGAAATAATAATATAAAAAGAAAGTACTTTCAACAAGTGTAAAGAGTACGATGATATTTTCAACAATTTATAAGTTAAGGAAACAGATGAGACAAGCCTCGGCTTCTAAACTGTTTCTACACGTTGACCATTTTACTTTCTTTCTGCACATTCATAAAAAGGGAAAATAACACTGAAAAGAACGATTACGTTTTGACTCCATTATGGTGTCATTTTCAAATATTAAGGTACAAATTGGTTGAATAAATATTTTTTTTGTGGATTTAGTTTTCACCGATTCTTTATTTTTTTCTTTTAACAAATAACATATTCAACATTTATATATAAATCGTCCATATATCAATTGTTACATGTGCCCGTGAAGAACAAGCTATTCTTCTCTATGTTACTGTAGCCTAGGCTGTTCACACTTTGATCATAATTGTAATGAGGCAAAATACCCGCGATTTTTGTATACTTTTCATCTTGCCTTTCTAGAGGCTATGAGTACCGGAGTGGGCCCAGATATTTGCAGGAACGAATCCAGAAATAAAAAAGTCACCCTGTTATACAAGTTTAAATGACGTGGGGAATCATATTCTGTCTTGTCACCCTCCTACATTGAGCTGAAAGCTAAAAAAATTATTAGCCAGACTTAAATGAATAACCCCCCCCCCCAACAAAAGGAAAGAAAGCTGCTGGTTATTTCCCAACATCTATACAATTTATTTACCGCTACAAAAAGTACTCTAACATCTTAACTGCAACACTGTTGCCATATAATACAAGATTAGTATTCTGAAGCATAATATTAATACTAACTGATACCTCATTAGAATATAACTTTAGAAAGACCTCGTTAAAGACAAATTCCAATACACAACATTTTGGAAAGACGTCAAAAACTTGAAAAAGCTACAATTAAAAAAAAAAAAGTTTAAATCGGCTTCTGCCTTGTTAGAATTTTTTTTTGAATAGTTTTTCAACTTCCCGATTTGTGTATATTTTCTATCTTGTCAGATATGCATGCACTGGCTATCTTCTTTAAATACGAAATAAATAAAAATGAGTATTATGCTACTGCTACAGAGTTAAATCCTGAAGTGTCATGTAGAGGCCTACATATTTGTTGTTCTTTAATTCAATTTTATCTGTATTGGCAAACAAACAAGAGGAACAGTGCGATTAAATTCAATTTATTGTTATAACATGGACTTGATGATTAACTTTTCGGCCTAGGCCTACTGATGAAAAGTATTTATTGTAAAAATCATCTCACCTGGCATGACAAAGAAGACCTAGTACTTAGTATACCGTAAAACTGCTAATAATAGCCTACTACTCTATTAGAGCCCCTCCTATAATATTAACCCACCCTTAGAAGATAATCTGTAATATCCCCACTACTATAATAATATCCAATGGGGTTAATATTAGAATCACCAAAGCTATATACAAAAAGACGTATAAATCAATATTTTTGTCGATTTAACACGATTTATTCCTTAAAATAGGCATTCTTCACAACAGATGATTGTGCCGTTGATGACCCTTTCTTTTATTATTATTACTCCTTGGTAATTTTCTAATGCAGGGTAGGCCTATTGTTCCAATTTTAATTCCAAAAGCGGCCCAACCAAAAAAACCAAAAAAACAAAAAAAAAACAAACAAACAAACAAACAAACAAACAAACAAAAACAAAACAAAACAAAACAAACAAAAAAACAAAAACAAAAAAAAACAAAGAATAGTAAAAACGCAGGTTGCTTTAATTTTACACCTCCCTGGTTTCAGTACTGTCATTACTGTTTTCACAACCGATGAGGGAGTTGTCATTTCACGTGTGTTACGTGAGTACATTCTGCGCACATACACGCCACTGTTTGGTGGTAAACATGCGATGATGGCAGATGAATTTGCTGGAATAACACTGAATTTGTCGACTGAATACAAGACAAAGAAAACAGTAAGAGACAGGTCAACATTATCTTTCTTGACAATAGTTTTTAAGGATCAAGCCAAATTGTTTGCATTTCTAAAGGATAATTAATGTCAGGCCGGAGGTAGTATAAATAAGCCTGGCACTCAATAAAGGTCAAAGCGGGCTTGGCCGCCCTGCTGCCTACAGTTACACTACAAACAGTACCAAAACACTAGGCCCCTGCTCCAACTGCGGCCTAGGCTAGGCTGGCCAAGCACAGCCTAAAAGGAATCCTTAATTAGCCTGCTTAGACCATGCATAGAGAAAGATAATATTTTCTTATTTATGGACCATGCTTGTATCAGGGAGTTGTTATTAAATAACAACTCCCTGCTTGTATTAAGGTTTCCACCTATTATTTGAGGCTAGCCCTAACTAATTTAATTGTTTTCAAAAAGAGAGTGCCTCTCTCTCTAGGTTAGGGGACAAGTCTTCATACACAATCTAGGGCCTGCTAGTTTTCAAAGGCTGCTCTCATGATTTATTCGCATACAGTAATAGCTGAACTGTTAATTATAATAAAATGATAATAATATTAATAATTGTAATAAAAATTATGATAATTGAAATTGCAATAATGTACAGTATAATATAATACATACTCCAAGTATTGAAATACACGCCATCGTGTTGGGATTCAATATTTCGACAAGCATAAGAAGGTTTACTG